AATGGGCAGCGTGTTTATGGTTTTTAACAAAGCAACTAATAGTTTATTAGTTTACTGATGTGTGCTTTCCAGAAGATAGAATTTATTGAGTGTGATGTGGTAGATGGTTCCACGTCTGACCTCAGTGATATTCAGAGCCCTCCTGCTGAGCTGGAACGACAGCCTTACAGACACTCTAAACTCGGACTCACGCAATCCTCCTGCCTCAGCCTCCCAAGTAGCTGAAACAACAGGCATGCACCACCATGCCCGGCTAATTTTTTCTATGTATATTAGTTGTCCAATTAATTTATTTCTATTTATAGTAGAGACAGGGTCTCGCTCTTGCTCAGGCTGGTCTCCAACTCCTGACCTCGAACAATCCGCCCGCCTCGGCCTCCCAGAGTGCTAGGATTACAGGCGTGCGCCACCGCGCCCGGCCAGCAGTGCCCTGTGACCAACATCTTCCTCCTCATTCTTTGCCAGACTTGTGAATGTGCATCATTCTGTCCTTGGTCATCCACAGCAGCACACCACGCCACTTCTGCACTGCCCATTCCTCTCCGCCAGTGTTTCTTAAACTCTAGGTTGTAGAACCGCCTGCTTCAGAAGCAAGTTGTTAAAAATGCAGCTCTCTGGGCCTGTTGTCAAACTAATGCACATTAAAGCTTGAGAACCACTATTTAAGCAATTGGACTGTACCCATCTCTGACTCTAGCATGACTATCTTTGATCCTTAACTTACAGGAAGGGTTTTGGTATATAAAAGGGCCACTACCCGAGACCATTAAAACTGAACCATGACTCAGAAACAAGAATAAGTGTCAGTTCTCCTCTAAGGCCCCCAAACCATAGACCTCCCAGATCATCTCAGCCATAGAGGTACCCAGGCATGTGCCTCCCTTTCCTTGCCCACTGGGGCCCTACCCAGTTTATCTATCTCTGAACTGCTTGTGTTCCTAATGACTTGGGACTGGGTGTTGATCTGTACAGCAGAGACCAGTAATTTCTGTGACATTTTCTGAGTATTCAAGTCAGAGCTCATAATTAGCTTGGTGTTGGCCTAGCCACGTATGAGAAACCTCCCTGTCATTCCGTACCTCTTTGAAGCTAGCAAGCACACTAAAAATCAATTCTGCTTATGATTTTCCAATAGCTCTGAACAGTTATAATTACAGTGTACATCTGTGGAAGCAAAGCTACTTTTCTAATCTGTTTTCTTATTATTTTTTCCAGCAGCTTCTGCAGACTTAGTGGTAATTTGGATTTCAACTAAATGACACCATTTAGATGCTGAGGGTGATCATTTCAACTTTTAGCACATTGATATGGTGAGAACCCGAGTAAAGTCTGAAAGCTAAGGCACAAGCGCTATCTAAAGATGCCTGGCCAATAATAAAGGCTCAACAGATGTTTGTTGGGTTTTACTGAAGAAGGGCCTCACTTTTTAAAGACAGAAAATATAATGTTTAGCAAAGAATAGGAATTATAATTTTTTGCAGGGTCCTAAAAAATGTGTGTGTGTCTGTGTATATATATATGTATATGTATATGTATACACATTATATATATTTTATATATATATATATACATTTTCTGAAGTTTAACATTTTTTTAAATTTATGAATGCATGCTAGTGAGACATTCTTTCCCCCTAAGTGGTGTTACAGGCTAAGGAAAGAAAGGGGAAGTTAGTGAATCAGCCTGTTTGCAAGGCCAAGTCATCCTGCAAGCATCTATACCACCAGTATTGGTTTGCTAGGCTGCCGTTGTAAAGTACCGCAAACTGCATGGCTTAAACAACAGAAATTTGCCTCACAGTTCCAGAGGCCAGAAATCCCATATCAAAGTGTCGGCAAGGTTGGTTCCTTCTGAGGGCTGTGAGGGAGATCTGTGCCATGCCTCTCTCCTGGGCTCTGGGGGTGTGCTGGCAATCTTTGGCATTCCTTAGCTTGCAGGTCTCTACCTTTTTCTTCATGTGGAGTTCTCCTTGTGTGCATGTTTCTCTCTCTGTCCAAATTTCCCCTTTTTATAAGAGCACCAGTCATATTAAAGCAGGGCCCACCCTATTCCAGTAAGATCTCTTCTTAACTGATGATATCTGCAACAACCTTATTCCCAAATAAGGTCATACCCGAAGTTAGGACTTCAGTGTAAGGATTCTAGGAGGAACCAATTCAACCCATAACATCGTCCCTCTGAATAAAGCTTTGTGTTTCTGGCTCGTTTGTGTTTGTTTTCAATCCCGATAGCAGCAAATATAGAGATTGCAGAGTATCTGGCTGCAAACCACCATGCATGGAATTATGTCATTGAGGTGCAGTCTAGAGGGATAATGGTGCTTGGACTGGGAATTAGTTCCCGTTCACTGTATCTTAAATCCTTATTGGTTCCGTTAGCTTGCACAGCAAAAGGCATTTCCAATTCAGCGTACAATATTTCTGATATGCCACTCTGATCTCAAGCTGTGGTTGAGAGACGACCAGCTAAGGCCAAGAATCAAAACTTTAGAAAGCTGGAAAGACCTCATCAAATCCAGATGCCTGATTTTCACAGAGGAGGGACAGTGGACTAAAGGAAGATAAAACGTCTTACCCACATGCAGCCCACAGCTACTTGGTGCCAAATGGGTACCAGATCTCAGCTACCCTGTCTCTTGTTTTAGTTTATCCTTCTGCATATCATACTGATCCTCCGGGTCATGAAGGCCCTTGTGATTTAAAGGTCCCAATTCCTATTGCTTTGTGGTGCTTTTCTCTAGCTGGCGGGCACCATCAACCCTGTCTTCGGTGCGTGTCGTCTGTCTGGGCATGTTGTGTGAACTGCACATACTGCAGCTGTTTAAATCCCCCTAAGCCTCACATCTGGGATCTGCTTAAATATATTATCTCTCAACTCCATGCATGTGAGCTCTAGGAAGGGAACTAGTTCTGATGTTAGACTTTGCAAAATATGAACAGTAAAACGCATTTTCCAAGAAAGCAGAAGCCATTCAGTATTGTGAAGCCCAGAAGAAATGACTTTGATTATCAAGGTTATCAAGGTTTCTATTTTGGTTTATTGTTGTTGTTTTGGTGAGGTATTTTTTTTGCATTTACATATTTTATAATAATCATATATGTAATAATTTGCTTCTTTTAACATTTATTATCTGTCTCCCTTTTGGGGGTTTTTAGGGGGTTTTGTCCAGCTTTATTGTTACGCTTGACAAATAAAAATTGTATATGTAAGGTGATGTTTTGACATATGTATACATTGTGAAATTATTACTACAATCAAGCGAATTAAAATATCCATCACTTCACTTAGTCACGATATTTTTTTGTGTGGCTAGAACATTTAAGATCAACTCTCTTAGGAAATTTCAAGTATACAGTGCATTATTCTTAACTCTACTCACTGTGCTGTATATCCCCAGAACTTATGCATCTGGCATAACTGAACCTTTGTGTCCTTTGACCCACATCTCCTCCAGCCCCTTCCCCTCCAGCACCTAGCAACCACCATTCTAGTCTGCTTTTAAGAGTTTGACTCTCGACAAGCAAAATCCTGGAAAGAAAGAAAGAAAGAAAGAAAGAAAGAAAGAAAGAAAGAAAGAAAGAAAGAAAGAAAGAAAGAAAGAGAGAGAGAGACTGAGAGAAGGGCATGAGGAGGGGATGAAGGGAGATTCTGATATGGTGAGACCGGGAAGAAAGGGAGAGAGAAAGAGTGAGTTTGACTCTTAGATTTTACACATAAATTAACACATGTAGTATTTTTCCTTCTGCATCTGACTTACTTCATTGAGCATAATGTCCTCCAGGTTCATCCATGTTGTTACAAATGAATTTTCTTCTATTTTAAGGCTGAATAATATTCCATTCACATACACACACATTGTGTATGTGTATGTATATGTGTGTGTGTACGTGTGTGTATATGTACAGACAGACCACATTTTGTTTAACTATTCAGCCAATAATGGACACTTAGGTTGCTGCCCCAACTTTTTGAAAGCTTCCCAAGTTAATGACCTGACCACATCTGAACTATGTACTAACTTATCTTTCGCTTTGAGTATAGCACCTGGAATGAAGTTGGCACACAGTATTCATTTGAATGAGTGACTGAGAGTTTTATAGGTAGAAAAGCAGATACTGCTTATTATGCTGACAGTTCATTATTAAAGTATAATTTATACATTGTAAAATGCAGAAATCTTAAGTGTATAGCTACATAAAGTTTGGCAAATGTGTCCATAAGAACCTACCACCCAGACCAAGACAAAGGACATTCTCTCATCCCACAAGAAACTTCCCTTCACCCCTTCCTAGACATGACCCCAAGGTCATGGAGATGTTCTTTGTTTTTTTCTGGAAGCCTTGTAGGTTTAACTTTCACATTTTGAGTTCCATTTCAAATTAACTTTTGTGTATGGTATGAGATGGGGGTGTCAAAGGTTCTTTTGTTCTTTAACATCTATTTCTGCTTTTTTATTAAGTTGAGTAAAATCAACTTGTCTATAGTAACAGATTTGTGATTCAGGAATGGATCTGTTATCTTTCTTTTTTCTCTTTAATATTTGAACTGTTGTTACCGGGGTTATCTTAGAAACACAGGAAAGCGCTAATTCTCCACAGTGGTTGGAAGGCTTGAGGCAATCTGTGTAGGACCCGGTATTGCTTCAGAGTCAGGCCTGGGTTCAAATCCAGTTTGCCACCTGTGGTTAGGCAAGTTAGTCTTAATGCTGAAGTATATAAAATAATAGCAAGAGACCCAGCCTAACAAGGTTATCGTTAATGATTAAATTAAATAATGTAATACAATCATCACAGCACAAACATCACAGTCAACGATGACTGCTAGCTTTTTTCTTTTCTTTTCTTTTCTTTTCTTTTTTTTAAGAGACAGAATCTCGCTCTGTCACCCAGTCTGAAACCTCAAATTCCTGGGCTCAAGTGGTCCTCCTTCCTCAGCCTCCCTAGTAGCTGGGACTACAGGCGTACACTACCACATTCAGCTAATTTTTTTATCTTTTGTAGAGACCGGATCTCTGTTGCCCGTGCTGTTCTTGAACTCCTGGCCTCAAATGATCCTCTTGCCTTGGCCTCCAGAAGTGCTGGGATTACAGGCATGAGCTACTGTGTGCCCAGCAATGACTACTTGTTTTAAACCTGTGTGTATGTGTGTGTGTGTTGGGGTGTGGTGTTGGAAAGAAAAATAAACCTCATAGACATATATGATGGAAAAGCTCCCCGAATTTGGATGAGGGTTTCCTTTTGAAAAGGTTTCTCCTTCCAGCCACCACCCATTCATTCACTCCCCTCAAAGCCTTCTGCTTGTCTCTGCGGCTGCTAGTGGCAGGAGCTCTCTGAGCCCCCATGGATTCCCATGCCCAGAACTAATATACCTGGAAACACACGGTTTGGTTCTCTTTTTGCCTGTGAGTTCAAAGCGTTGCTCTCTGTGCTGTGCTGCAGAAGGCTTCGTACCTCAGGCGTTCACTGGCAGGGTGGGGGGCGAGGGCTGGGGGGAGGCAGCCATCAGTCGATTCCAAAGGGAGAGCCTGCTGCTCTGCTCGCCTTAGAAACAGGCAGTCTCCTCGTCTAAAAATAGCAAAAGTGGGAGAGCGGGGAAGAGCAACAGCCATGCTCAGGGCTGAACAGGAGAAAAGGCAGAAAAAAGCAGATCTCTCTGAAAGCCTCCTGTTTGGCGGCGGGGGCTGAGTAGCGTGGGCGCAGTGACCATGGTCGAGGACTTTCCGTTCGTCTGGGTCCATGCTGGGGAGCCCTGTAGACTCGCCCACACACTCAGCCAAGCAGCTCAGCATGAAGGGGGTGCTCCGTCATGGCGGGGCTGTGAGCTGGCTGCAGGCTCACACTATATCCAGGCTGCAAACAGGGACTCTCGTGCCAGTGCCTGGGAGTTTCCACGCCCTGTAGCACCCTCCACCCGCCACCCACCCCAACCAAAGGTGAGCTGCTTCTAGCAGGGCGCAAGGTATTGCTTTGCCCAGGCCTTCAGAAGCGCATCAGTAACGCCGGAATGGGCTTGCCCTGAAGCAGAACGAGGCTCTAGGACTAAACGCCTCTTTGCAGCCATTAAGTGAGAGCAGGCTGCATTGATTGAGTTTTCTCTGCAAGTAGAGCTTTCCTGTCTACATTTGTTATCAGTTAATGTTCCGGTAGCTAAACTTAAAATAGCAGAAAAGGAATTCTTTCCAAGGTCTGCGATAAATCTGTCTGTGCAAACAGACCTCATCAAAGCCCCCTGGGAACAGAGTCACGGTGACACTCCTGTTCATTTATGCAGGAGAGCTTTACCCTCTGTTGGCCTTTCTATCTCTCACAGTTCCCAACTTGATCCTGTCGATGGCCCCGTGAGGTGGGCTGCACAGGAGGTATCGTTCCCATTTCCAGGCGAGGCAGGAGCTCATGACTTGCCCAGAGTAATAACTAATAATCAGAGAAGCAGGGCTTGTACCTGGCCTTCCGCCCTCACCTGGATGTTCTCTGGGGCTTTTTCCCCCACATGGCAATCGGTCAGTTTCTAAAGGGCAAAAACCTCCTAACCTGAAGCAACCTAAAATGTGGCATGAATTTAAGCAAAAGTAGGGAAATAAAATTAAAAAGACTCCATTTAACCTTGATGTTGGCAACATTTGTCTTTGCATGACCCAGGATTCATGACTTTGAACCCAGAGAGGGAAAAATAACCCCAACTCACCGTTGGCCATTTAGTAAATAATATTTTCATGGTCATAATAATGTAAACCCTATGTATCAATTTTCTAATTTCAGAGCCAATCTGTGGACAACGGAAAAATTTTGTTATAATTGCAAGGTAGAATATAAATCTTAACAGCCATGACAAAGTAGAGATAAAAGCATGGTTTTTTTTTTTTTTAAGTGTGTTTAATACAAAGAGCGGAAAGCAGGAACAAAAATGAAATAATGTGGGAAGTTAAAGGATATATGGTATGTGGTTGATGAAATTTAAGCATGTTATTCACAGTTACAAAATAAATTAAGTAGAAATGGCAAATGTTGGCAGAGTAGAAGGGGGTAAATATCCTTCATAGCGAATTAACAGACACTTCCTTTGGTTGCAAATATCTTTTATCGCATGATTCATTAAAAGCTATGAAGGGAATCACCAGAAGAGATAAAAAGAGAAATCGTGGAAGAAGCATCGTCTGAGGGGATAGCTGAAGGCGGGAACCGGGGGCGGGAGGTTGTAGCTTTTCCATCAGAAGTCATCTGTGTCATGTGGTTTATTATGATGTTATTACTTTGATTAAAACAAATTGAGGCAGTGAGAGGATGACTTTTAAAAGACAAAAACTGTGGCTAGTACCATATGTTCCCTGAACAAACAGTCTCATGAGAATTAGCTATAAAACACTCGTTAGGTCTACAAGCAGAAATCAGAGTGTTCCAGGCTATAAAATTATCGATGAGTGTTTTCAGCAGTCCGGCCAGGCTAATGCTCTCCAATGAAGCCAAACTAATGTTGCTGGTAACAGAAAGAAGCATTTTTGTAAACGACAGAGAAGCCCGCGTGGCATCAGAGCCTCATGAATGTCCCCTCCCGGAGGCAGAGCCAGGACACCTGTGTCACTCTTACCTACAAGAAGTTTGTGACTTGTGCAGAGATGGGAGCACAGAGCAGAGGAAGAGTATTGGCAGTTCCCATGCTTTTTACAAGGGAAGAACATACATCACTGAGTAGAATAACAGTTTCTTGTGTAGCTTGTTGCAAATTAGGGACAATTAGCCCTCGGTCAGTCTGAATCAAGGGAATTGTGGCAAAACCTGATGGTGTAGAACCTAGGCAAGCAGCCAGACTCTTAAACCCAGTCACGTAAATTTGCTTCTAGAAATGGATCCTCCCAAGCTGCAAGCCCAGGGAACAGCGTACACTCTAACCCCACCACTGCATTCTGAGGACGTTCCTCCCAAGAGAGAGACCCTCGCTTATAAGTGACCCTAAAACAGAACCTCAACCAGAGAAATTAGAAATTGATTCTAAATAAGCTGGAGCCCAAAAAATCAACAGTACAATAAAAAAAAAAAAAATCAGGGCAATACCAAGACTATTCCCCAATGCCAGAACTAAAGAGAAATGAATATTAAATTGATCAGTGGCACAGACATTTAAATGAAAATCCTTTTAGACCATATCTTACCTTTACTACATTTTCAAGAGAGGAAGAATTTGCTGTAGACTATGGATGCATTTATTTGGGTGAGATGGTTTATTCTTGCCTTCTCTCTTTACTCTGTTAATAATTACATTTCATTATTTTTTAAGCAGCCATGAACATACACATACATATTCATGCATACAGTATATAGGTTCTCAAGCCCAGATAATACTTTATGTCCTAACATGAAACATTTCTTATTTAGGAAAGATATACCTTTATCTGCAATAACGTATACAACTTTTACTAATCTCTTTGCTAAAAATAATGTAACCATGTAAAGTGAAATATTTTCAATGCCTGTATCAGCTGAGGCCCAAATTAAAAGTGTGAGACTTATAGCACTTGCAAAGGAAGTAAGTGGTCATAAACCAGTTCTGTGGCCCTTAGCTAACTGCCCACCCCCAGCCTTTAAAGGAGGTTGGTGTGGCCAGGAAAAGAGTTGGCAGGTGGAATGTGATCTTTATAGACAACTTTTGGTGATCAGAGATGGCTGTCCCAGCCCAGAAAAATGGGCTTCTATGGGACACTTTGGGGGGATGGCTTGCTGTGTGTGCTGTGGAGGGTGTGACTCATGCTTGAGATCCTGGGAGGGCAGAGCAAGGACAGTTTGCTGTTTGGAGTTGGCCCATGCCACTCACTCACTTCCCATCTCCTTTCTGTGCTTTTTTTTTTCTCCTTAGCACTTTTGATCAACATAATATATATTTGAAGTATTTATCTCATTGTCTGTCTTTCTCAATACTAAGTAAGTTCCACGAGGCACAGACTTTTGTTGGTTTTGATCTCTGCTACATCCTAGACCTAGAATGCAATGTGCAAATGAATGCTTGGTAAATGTTTGCATTGTACATTTCTTATCACTGATCACCCCAACCCTACTGGTTCAATATGATTATTGTCATTTTACATATGGGAAACTGGAACACAGAGGGGTTACAAAACGTAACCAGTATTACACGTAACTAAGTAGAAGAGCCAGAACTCAGAGTCAAATTCATCTGATTCCAAATCTCATGCTCAGCCTGTTGATGCTTTATCAGCTCAGGCATCTGTTTCTTAAAAATGTATTCTCATTCCTTTTGGGGCGGTAGATAGTATCTAGTCTAAGAGTTTTAGGGAAGTAACCTGCCAGTTCTATACTCTGATCTCACTTGCTAGATACTGTATAATGAGGATAACAAATACAAAGATTAATTTATTGGTTATGTAGCTTTTGCTCAATGCCAAGACAATAAGTCAGATTATTCAGAGTGTATTTAATGATACTTTACTATATATATGTCTGATTATCTATACAGGGCTATATATTTTACTAAATTCCTTCATATGTATAATTTTATTTAAATAGTAAACCTTTAGAAGCTTAAATAGCTTTATCGTTTCTGTTAAATTTTGATATCCATTTTTCAATGTTGCTTTTGAAAGCTTATTTTGCCTACTTACTTTTCCTCAAAACTTTCTCTTCACTGTTATTCTTCCCAAAAGAACAAAGATTTCCACAGTTCACATCAGACATCAAACACCATATTTGTTTTTGCTAGTATAATGTGATTATTTTGCAAGCTCCTACACACATTTTCCTGAGCTACCTTGGTTTCTGCGATGGCCAATTTCTAAAATTCCAGCAGAGATGACTATAAAAAAAAAAAAAGGTAGTTAAATGGAAACCGGAGTTCAGGTCCTAGCTCTATTCAACTACCTACTAGGTAACCATGGGCAGGTCACTGCTCCTCCCTGGCCTGGTCTTGGAAGCGGAGACGCTGGGCTGACAGACGCGCGGAGCCGGCGCAAGTGAGGGGAACAGGCTGAGTGTGACACAGACAAGCATGGTGGGGACCCGCAGCCATGCACAGGACGTGCCCAACTTGGGGGAGGCAGCCGCAATCTCGTTCCTACTCAGAAATGTAAGCTCAAAGTTGGCAGCTTTGTTGGTTTCTCTAAAGAAACTGTAGAAAAACTGGGTTTTTGTGGGAATTTCCTGTTTCTTAATTTGGCAATAATTCAAACTAAAAAAAAAAAAATCTCTTCTTCAAAACACGCT